GGATGGTTGGATGGTGAGTTGAGGATGGTTGGATGGTGAGTTGAGGATGGTTGGATGGTGAGTTGAGGATGGTTGGATGGTGAGTTGAGGATGGTTGGATGGTGATGGTTTGAGGATGGTTTGGTGAGTTGAGGATGGTTGATGGTGAGTTGGTTGGATGGTGAGTTGAGGATGGGTTGGATGGTGAGTTGAGGTGTTGGATGGTGAGTTGAGGATGGTTGGATGGTGAGTTGAGGATGGTTGGAGTTGAGGATGTTGGATGGTGAGTTGAGGATGGTTGGATGGTGGAGTTGAGGATGGTTGGATGGTGAGGTTGAGGATGGTTGGATGGTGAGTTGAGGATGGTTGGATGGTGATGAGATGGTGAGTTGATGGTTGGATTGAGTTGGATGGTGGATGGTGAGTTGAGGATGGTTGGAGAGGATGGTTGTGTGAGTTGAGGATGGTTGGATGGTGAGTTGAGGATGGTTGGATGGTGAGTTGAGGATGGTTTGGAATGGTTGAGGATGGTTGGATGGTGAGTTGAGGATGGTTGGATGGTGAGTTGAGGATGGGATGGTGAGTTGAGATGGATGAGTTGAGGATGGTTGGATGGTGATGAGGAGATGTGAGTTGGATGGTTGGATGGTGAGTTGAGGATGGTTGGATGGTGAGTTGAGGATGGTTGGATGGTGAGTTGAGATGGTTGGATGGTGAGTTGAGGATGGTTTGGATGGTTGAGGATGGTTGGATGGTGAGTTGAGGATGGTTGGATGGTGAGTTGAGGATGGGGAGGAGGTGGTTGAGTTGAGGATGGTTGGATGGTGAGTTTGAGGATGGTTGGATGGTGAGTTGAGGATGGTTGGATGGATGGAGTTGAGGATGGTTGGATGGGTGAGTTGGAGATGGTTGTTGGATGGTGAGTTGAGGATGGTTGATGGATGAGTTGAGGATGTTGGGATGGTGGAGTTGAGGATGGTTGGATGGTGAGTTGAGGATGGTTGGATGGTTGGAGTTTGAGGATGGTTGGATGAGTTGGTTGATGGATGGGTGAGTTGAGGATGGTGGATGGTGATTGAGGATGGTTTGGATGATGAGTTGAGGATGGTTGGATGGTGAGTTTGAGGATGGTTGGATGTGAGTTGGATGGTTGGATGGTGAGTTGAGGATGGTTGGATGGTGAGTTGAGGATGGTTGGATGGTGAGTTGAGGTGGTTGGGATGAGTTGAGGATGGTTGGATGAGTTGGATGGTTGGATGTGAGTTGAGGATGGTTGGATGGTGAGTTTGAGGATGGTTGGATGGCGAGTTGAGGATGGTTGGATGGTGTGAGGATGGTTGGATGGTGAGTTGAGGATGGTGGATGAGTTGAGGATGGTTGGATGGTGAGTTGGATGGTTGGATGGTGAGTTGAGGATGGTTGGATGGTGAGTTGAGGATGGTTGGATGGTGAGTTTGAGGATGGTTGGATGGTGAGTTGAGGATGGTTGGATGGTGAGTTTGAGGATGGTTGGATGGTGAGTTGAGGATGGTTGATGGTGAGTTGAGGATGGTTGGATGGTGAGTTGAGGATGGTTGGATGGTGAGTTGAGGATGGTTGGGTGAGTTGAGGATGGTTGGATGGTGAGTTGAGGATGGTTGGATGGTGAGTTGAGGATGGTTGGATGGTGAGTGAGATTTGAGGATGGTTTGGATGGTTGAGTTGATGGTTGGATGATGAGTTGAGGATGGTTGGATGGTGAGTTGAGGAGTTTGGATGGTTGAGTTTGAGATGGTTGGATGGTGAGTTGAGGATGGTTGGATGGTGAGTTGAGGATGGATGGTTGAGGATGGGTGAGTTGAGGATGGTGGAAGTTGAGGATGGTGGATGAGTTGAGGATGGTTGATGAGGATGGCAGGTTGAGGATGGTTGATGGTGAGTTGAGGATGGTTGGATGGTGAGTTGAGGATGGTTTGGTGGTGAGTTGAGGAGGTTGGATGGTGAGTTGAGGATGGTTGGATGGTGAGTTGAGGATGGTTGGATGGTGAGTTGAGGATGGTTGGATGGTGAGTTGAGGATGGTTGGATGGTGAGTTGAGGATGGTTGGATGGAGTTGAGGATGGTTGGATGGTGAGTTGAGGATGTTGGATGGTGAGTTGATGGTTGGATGGTGAGTTGAGGAGTGAGTTGAGGAGGTTGGATGGTGAGTTGAGGATGGTTGGATGGCGAGTTGAGGATGGTTGGAGGGTGAGTTGAGGATGGTTGGGATGGTGAGTTGAGGATGGTTGGGTGAGTTGGATGGTTGATGGTGAGTTGAAGTGAGTTGGATTGGATGGTGAGTTGAGGATGGTTGGATGGTGAGTTGAGGATGGTTGGATGGTGAGTTGAGGATGGTTGGAGTTGGAGGATGGTTTGGTGAGTTGAGGATGGTTGGATGAGTTGAGGATGGTTGGATGGTGAGTTGAGGAAGTTGGATGGTGAGTTGGATGGTTGGCTGATGGGTTGAGGATGAGTTAGGTTGGATGGTGAGTTGAGGATGGTGGCGAGTTGAGGATGGTTGGATGGTGAGTTGAGGATGGTTGGATGGTGAGTTGAGGAGGTTGGATGGTGAGTTGAGGATGGTTGATGGAGTTGAGATGGTTGGCGAGTTTGAGGATGGTTGGCTGGTTGAGTTGAGGATTGGTTGGATGGTGAGTTGAGGATGGTTGAGGATGTGATGAGCGAGTTGAGGAGAGTTGATGGTTGGATGGTGAGTTGAAGGAGGTTGGATGGTGATTGAGGATGGTGGATTGGTGAGTTGAGGATGGTTGGATGGTGAGATTGAGGATGGTTGGATGGTGAGTTGAGGAGTTGAGGATGGTGAGTTGAGGATGGTTTGGATGGTGAGTTGGATGGTTGGATTGGTTGAGTTGAAGGATGGTTGGAATGGTGAGTTGAGGATGGTTGGATGGTTTGGAGTTGAGGATGGTTGGAGGGTGAGTTGAGGATGGGATGGTGAGTTGAGGATGGTGAGTTGAGGATGGTGAAGTTGAGGATGGTTGGATGGTGAGTTGAGGATGGTTGGATGAGTTGAGGATGGTTGGATGGCGAGTTGAGGATGGTTTGGGAGTTGAGGATGGTTGGATGGTTGAGGAAGTTTGGAGGGTGGAGTTGAGGATGTGTTGGATGGTGAGTGAGGATGGGGTTGGATGGTGAGTTTGAGGATGGTTTGGCGAGTTGAGGATGGTTGGATGGTGAGTTGAGGATGGTTGGATGGTGAGTTGAGGATGGTTGATGGTGAGTTGAGGATGGTTGGCGAGTTGAGGATGGTTGGATGGTGAGTGAGTTGAGGATGGTTGGATGGTGAGTTGAGGATGGAAGGATGGTGAGTTGAGGATGGTTGGGGTGAGTTGAGGATGGGATGGTGAGTTGGATGGTGAGTTGAGGAGGAGGAGTTGGATGGTGAGTTGAGGATGGTTGGATGGTGGAGTTTGAGGATGGTTGGATGGTGAGTTGAGGATGCGTTGGATGGTGAGTTGAGGATGGTTGGATGGTTGGATTGAGGATGGTTGGATGGTGAGTTGAGGATGGTTGGTGGTGAGTTGAGGATGGTTGGATGGGAGTTGAGGATGGTTGGATGGTTGAGCGAGTGGTGAGTTGAGGATGGTTGATGGTGAGTTGAGGTGAGATGGTTGGGATGGTTGGGTGAGTTGAGGATGGTTTGGATGGTGAGGTTGAAGTTGAGGATGGTTGGCGAGTTGAGGATGGTTGGATGGTGAGTTGAGGATGGTGGATGGTGGTTGAGGATGGTTAGATGGTGATTGAGGATGGTTGGCGAGTTGATGGTTGGATGGTGAGTTGGGATGGTTGGATGGTGAGTTGAGGATGGTTGGATGGTGAGTTGAGGATGGTTGGATGTGAGTTGAGAGATGGTTGGGGGATGGTGAGTTGAGGATGGTTGGATGGTGAGTTGAGGATGGTTGGAGTGGTGAGTTGAGGATGGTTGGATGGTGAGTTGAGGATGGTTGGGAGTTGAGGATGGTTGGTGGTGAGTTTGAGGATGGTTGGATGGTGAGTTGAGGATGGTTGGATGGTGAGTTGAGGATGGTTGATGGTGAGTTTGAGGATGGTTGGATGGTGGAGTTGAGAGGATGGTGAGTTGAGGATGGTTGGATGGGTGAGTTGAGGATGGTTGGATGGTGAGTTGAAGGATGGTTGGGTGAGTGAGGAAGTTGGATGGTTGGATGGTGAGTTGAGGATGAGTTGAGGATTTGGAATGGTGAGTTGAGGAGGTTGGATGGTGAGTTGAGGATGGTTGGATGGTGAGTTGAGGATGGTTGGGATGGTGAAGTTGAGGATGTTGGATGGTTGAGGATGGGATGGTGAGTTGAGGATGGTTGGCGAGTTGAGGATGGTTGGATGGTGATTGGGATGGTTGGATGGTGAGTTGAGGATGGTTGGATGGTGAGTTTGAGGATGGTTGATGTGAGTTGAGGATGGTTGGAGGTGGAGGATGGTTGATGCGAGTTGGGATGGTTAGATGGTGAGTTGAGGATGGATGGCGAGTTGAGGATGGTTGGATGGGTGAGTTGAGGGTTGGATGGTGAGTTGAGGATGGTTGGATGGTGAGTTGAGGATGGTTGGATGGTTGAGTGGATGAGGATGGTTGGATGGTGAGTTGAGATGGTGGATGGTTGAGGATGGTGAGTTGAGATGGTTGAGTTGGATGGTTAGATGGTGAGTTGAGGATGGTTGGCGAGTTGAGGATGGGTGGATGGCTTGAGGATAGTTGGATGGTGAGTTGAGGATGGTTGGATGGTGAGTGAGGATGGTTGGATGGTGAGTTGAGGATGGTGGATGGTGATTGGGATGGTTGGATGGTGGTTGAGGATGTTGGTCGATGGTGGTTGAGGATGGTTGAGGTGAGTTGAGGATGTTGGAAGCTGAGGATAGAGGATTGGATGGTGAGTTGATGGATTGGTGAGGTTGAGGATGGTTGGATGGTTGAGTTGAGGATGGCTGGATGGTGAGTTGAGGAGTTGGATGGTTGGATGGTTGGAAGATTGAGGATGGTTGGATGGCGAGTTGAGGATGGTTGGAGGTGAGTTAAGGATGGTTGGGTTGAGTTGAGGATGGTTGGCTGGTGAGTTGAGGATGGTTGGAGGGTGAGTTAAGGATGGTTGGGGTATGAGTTGAGGATGGTTGGATGAGTTTGAGGAGAGTTGAGGATGGTTGGATGAGTTGGGGAGAGTTGGTTGGGATGGTGTGTGTGAGGATGGTTGGGGTGAGTTTGAGGATGGTCGAGGTGGTAAGGATGGTGTGGTTGTGAGAGGTTGGAGGGTGAGAGGATGGCGGAGATGGTTAAGGATGGTGTGTGTGAGGATGGTTGAGGTGAGTTGAGGATGGTTGGATGGGAGTTGAGGATGGTTGGATGGTGTGAGGAAGGTTGGATGGTGTTAGATGGTTGGCGAGGAGGATGTCGAAAGTGGTTAAGATGATTGGCTAGGGTTGAGGATAGTTGGCGGTGAGTTAAGGATGGCTGACGAGTTGAAGATGATTTGTGAAGGATGGATGGGGTAGGGGATAGGGTGATGGTGTGGTTCTGGGATTTTTTTTTTATTTAGTGTGGTCTTGATTTTTTTCTCTATATATATTCACTGTTTCTCTCTGTTTTGTTTGTTTGTTTCTCTTGTTGTTTGTATGTCTGTATCCGTTCTCTCTCTCTCTCTCTCTCTCTCTCTCTCTCTCTCATCTCTCTCCTCCCCCCTCATTCCTCTCTCTCTCTCTCTCTCTCCTTCTCTCTCTCTCTCTCTCTCTCTCTCTCTTCTCTCTCTCTCTCTCTCTCTCTCTCTCTCTCTCTCTCTCTCTCTCTCTCTCTCTCTCTCTCCCTCTCTCCCTCCCTCCTCTCTCCCTCCTCCTCCCTCCTCCTCTTCTCCCCTTTCGCTCCCTCTCCCTCTCTCCCCTTTCCGTCTATTTCTCTTCCCACTTTCCTTATCTCAATGCCTCTCTCTATCAAATTTTCTCAAAGATTCCAACCAAAACAAAGCCATTTCCCATTGCAACAGCATATACTTACTCAGTCCTGGCCATTCATCATATACAGGTGCCACACACTCTCTCTCTCTCTCCCTCCCCCCCTCTCTCTCTCTCTCTCTCTCTCTTCTCTCCTCTCTCCTCTCTCTCTCTCTTTCTCTCTCTCTCTCTTTTCTCTCTCTCTCTCTCTCTCTCTCTCTCTCTCTCTCTCTCTCTCTCTCTCTCTCTCTCTCTCTCTCTCCTTCTCCCTTCGTCTATTTCTCTTCCACTTTCTTCTCTCAATGCCTCTCCATCAAATTTTCTCAAAGGAAGCTTCCAACCAAAATAAAGCCATTCCCATTGCAACTCAGCATATACTTTACTCAGTCCTGGCCATTCATCATATACAGGTACCAGGCTCTCTCTCTCTCTCTCTCTCTCTCCTCTCTCTCTCTCTCTCTCTCTCTTCTCTCTCTCTCTCTCTCTCTCTCTCCTTCCTCCTCCTATCCTCCTCTCTCCCCTTTCCGTCTATTTCTCTTCCACTTCCTTTTTCTCAATGCCTCTCTATCAAATTTTCTCAAAGGAAGCATTCCAACCTAAACAAAGCCATTCACCATTGCAACTCACCATATACTTACTCAGTCCTGGCCATTCATCATATACAGGTCCTTCTCTCTCTCTCTCTCTCTCTCTCTCTCTCTCTCTCTCTCTCTCTCTCTCTCTCTCTCTACTCCTTCCCTCCTCTCTCTCCTCCTCTCCCTCCCCCCCTCTCTCCCTCTCTCTCTCTCTCTCCCTCTCTCTCTCTCTCTCTCTCTCTCTCTCTCTGCTCTCCTCCTCTCCCCCTCCTCTCCTCCCTCCTCCCTCCCCTCCCTCCCTCCCTCCCTCCCTCCTCCCTCCCTCCCTCCCTCCTCCCTCCCCCCTCCCCCCTCCCTCCCTCCTCCTCCCCCCTCTCTCCCATTCATCATATTCAGGTACCAAGCACTACATCAAGCGTAGATTATTCATTCATGGTGAGTCTCTCCGTCGCGTCGTGCTCTATTTGGACTGGATAAATCATTCAGTTTGTAAATCTGTGGCCATAAATAACCCGACGAAGGACAGCAAGCGATAAATGTAATAGGTGTAAAATTGTTGATAAAAGAAGAGGGATTGAAGATATGATTTGGACTTTTCCATTCTATAAAATGGTGGATTAAACGAGTTATATATTTTAGGGCGATTAGACTGCACCTGCAAATAAATGTAGGAAACATTACATGTTCATTAAACTAAGTGATTTCTCTGCTCAGATAGACCAATTTTATCTTTCCGGAACCAAGGCAAGTTATCAAGAATTTCGAGAAATGTTTTATTCGTTTCAAAGATAGATTCGTGTTGCAATATCTATTTCACTTGCGAAGCTGTGATCATCCTTTGCAGTGAAATCAAATGTCCGTGGGATGGTTTAAATTTTCCTTTTCCTTATCATTATCAATATCATTCCATCTTAAATATCAAAATCAAGACTTGAATTAAGGCACTTTACCTTTTTAATTTATATCTGATAACAAT